AGTCACTGATGTCAGCCCAATTTTTTCGCTTTGTAGCCGATATTAGAGGCTATTCGCTTATGATTAGCCAAAAAAATGCAACCGCGAACGACGGCTATAAGAAGAATTTGAGTCATATCAAAATAGCCATTAGGACAAAATATAATCACAAACTGCTCCAACGTAAAGATAGAGGCCGTTAAAGTGAAAAGTAGGTTGTAAAACGATGACTCATCAGTCTTTAGCTACCGACTAGAAAGGACCATTCACAAGTTTGATAAGTATATCTGTTATAGTATCGTTTTCAGGTCAAAATCAATTTAGTCCTTTTAATTCCCACAGTTTCATGGCTTAAAACAGCTTCATTGCTCTTTTATTTCACAAAAATCTTTATTTCGGCAACCATTTTGTCGTTTTTACTGACGGCTAGCCGTTTCCAAAAATCCTGCTAGCAGTCAATTGACGGCTATTTTTGACGGCTAGCCGGACACAACCCACATAAAACCTACATAAACAGAAAGAACGTCAGTCATACATTCATTCATTCTACCTCCTCTCCTTTACCAAAACACATCGGAAGTAATAACACTATACGAACCATGCTTTCTTCATACACAAAAGTGGAAAGCTAGAGAAAAAATGATATTTTCATGGCGTTTTTATTCGCTTTTCATGTTACTACTGTGCAGAAAGTAGGGGTGGCTCTTTACTTATTACTCGATGTTACTTTACTACTGTAGGACCTGTATCAGTGTAAAGAAGGAAGTGCTTTCTATATAAAACACAAATTTTGAGTCTAGCTCACTATGCAAAGTCTACGAAGGGCGAGCTCGAACTTTTTCCTTCGAGAGGTGCATCACGGTAGAGCTGTTCTGAAGGTTTTGTTATTTTATATATCTATGTGCCCCGATGTCTAGTTTAAAAAACTGAAAACCGGCGATCTCTAGCTCTTATCGTTCAAAAGATATTAAAAAAACATCGGAGATCGTTATTCACTGAAACAGCTGGTAGTTATGTATGTGCTTCTGGATTTATTGGCAATGAAAGGAAAACAGTTATTGCAAATGATAATATGTTTAAAATAAAAGATTTTCACATTTTGAAAAAACTTATCGAGAACCTTCGGGTAGAAGCTACTCACTTATGAGATAGCTGTTTTTTGTTTTTCGAAAGTGTTAACAGTAGACTCTACTTCTGCGGGACAGATTGAGAGTAATAAGCCGATCTATTTTTCTGCATGAAAAAGCCGTCCTAATTGACAAAACTTTTTGAAAATCTACGAACGACCTGACATGAAGTGCTCATTTTCACAGTATATATAGCTGAGACGCTACTCTGTTCAACGGCGAAAATCGGACTCTCATGCCTCCTTTATTTACAGAGAAAAATGAACTACATAGAGCAAGTACTTGTAATGGGAATGCAAAGAAACTTATCTGTTCGATGTTGAGAATTTTCAATATTTTATTCTACCCGTTTCGATAAATCCAGGTTAATCTTCTCTTTATACTGTGTTTTAATACAGGAAGTGCTGCACCGTAACATTAATTCTTTGATCGCCTGCATTTTGGTCCAGAAACGTGTTTCATCACTTTCATATAACTTAAGTGTCGATATAAAATTCCGCATTGCTATTAGTTATATAAAACTGGCTGTGTGTTATCGGATCAATATAACTTAAAGTTATATTGATCCGATAACACACAGCCAGTTTTATATAACTTTCATCTATCAGTCTTTTATATGTATAGGTATGAGTGAATAATTGTTTTATTTTGATATCATCTGCTGTTGAGAAGAAATTCAGCCCACCATTGTGTGCCTGTTGTCTTTGATGAAGTGCTAATGTATAATGTTTTTGTTCCGAATACATGTGTCACATATGCAAGATTTAATCGAGCAGATAGCGTACACATCAGGATTTTTTGCGTCTAAATAATTCTTTGAACACTTTTCGTAGTATTGTGTATATCACACACAAGCATTCGATACTCGGATCTGTCTGTCTTATTTCTTTCTCTGTATGTGCACATAAATATCTTTTAATTAATAATTATTCTTATCATCAAATACTTGAAAAGATGTTTCCCTCGAAGGAGGCTGTTGAGAACAAACATTAACAATCACACAAATAGAAAGATTAGCATCGACAGTAACACATAAAAGTTATCTAAACAGAAAGAGCGTCAGTCATACATTCATTCATTCTGTCTTCTCTCCTTTACCCAAACACATTGGAAGTAATAATACTAATTAACAGTATTTAGGGTTTTTAACCATGATAGAAACAATATAGAGACTCGAGTCCAGCAAATGATCTATAGGAAATGCAATTTCCGAGATTGCTCCGCCAGAGGCAGATCTTCAAAAGCGCTCTTTTAGTTGAAAAAGGGTTTTCAAGGTTTCTCACGTCGTTGTATAACTTTGGCTCATGAGAAAAAACGAAGCAGAAAGAAATTCATACGTTTCACTCTGTAGACTTAATTTAGAAACACTTTTTTATTCAAAAAAAAATGGCGCGCAATATTTAAGTGAACAAAATTTTATAGCAAGACTAGTGGCCAACTTATCACTTGGACAAATCACTAATGTTATATAAAAGATTTCTATTATATGTATTTTTGAACACCGCTCACGACAATCCAAATGTACACTTAATATTATAGCCGTAACTTTACAAGAATGGAAGAATAAAATTACACGCAAACACATGTCAAATGATATCAGGCAGCCGCTAGTGATGCCATCATTTTTGAGTTGTTTTTTTACCATCGTTTCGGATAGTGGATCACATTTGAGCTATAAATACGTTAATTTTGTATTCTTCTCAAACATGTCTTAAGTATCTAAAATAGTCGATTTAACAAAAATTTCAACGGAATGGGTACGTTTTTTGCAGCTGATGTTCTCAACTGTCGACTCTATCTCGCCAGTTGACGTTCTCAACTGCCAAAGTTGAAATTCACTTATCGAAGAATATTAAATGACTAAAGTCTTCATCTTTTTCCCGTAAAGCGTTGACTTGCATGAAGACCTCTCGTCAATCAAAATATTTTGAGAAATTGACCTGTTTTCTGCGTTATTCTGCTCGTTCTAAGCCCCTTTTTTTCAATTTTCTTCGCATGATTTTTCTCAATGCTCTTCGCCGAGTTTCGCCAGTTATTCGCCGAATAAAGACAGTAAAATATCGACGAATGTACTTTGTATATTTTATCGGAATCCAGTTATTTTTCAATTTTCCTGTAAAGTATCACCACGCTGCGATTGAAGTTTTGTAACTTTTTTAATAGCATAACGTAGAATGTTGTTGAAAAAGGAACATTTGGCACTATACAATAACTATGGACACATATACTATGAAATATGCATCTGCTAGGTACAATGGCTCTCCACTAGTATAACAATGCAAACCGGACACAATCTTTCCTGGATCCACTCTATTCTCGTGAATTACGCTGCATATTAAACATCTTTTAATTAATAATTATTCTTATCATCAAATACTTGAAAAGATGTTTCCCTCGAAGGAGGCTGTTGAGAACAAACATTAACAATCACACAAATAGAAAGATTAGCATCGACAGTAACACATAAAAGTTATCTAAACAGAAAGAGCGTCAGTCATACATTCATTCATTCTGTCTTCTCTCCTTTACCCAAACACATTGGAAGTAATAATACTAATTAACAGTATTTAGGGTTTTTAACCATGATAGAAACAATATAGAGACTCGAGTCCAGCAAATGATCTATAGGAAATGCAATTTCCGAGATTGCTCCGCCAGAGGCAGATCTTCAAAAGCGCTCTTTTAGTTGAAAAAGGGTTTTCAAGGTTTCTCACGTCGTTGTATAACTTTGGCTCATGAGAAAAAACGAAGCAGAAAGAAATTCATACGTTTCACTCTGTAGACTTAATTTAGAAACACTTTTTTATTCAAAAAAAAATGGCGCGCAATATTTAAGTGAACAAAATTTTATAGCAAGACTAGTGGCCAACTTATCACTTGGACAAATCACTAATGTTATATAAAAGATTTCTATTATATGTATTTTTGAACACCGCTCACGACAATCCAAATGTACACTTAATATTATAGCCGTAACTTTACAAGAATGGAAGAATAAAATTACACGCAAACACATGTCAAATGATATCAGGCAGCCGCTAGTGATGCCATCATTTTTGAGTTGTTTTTTTACCATCGTTTCGGATAGTGGATCACATTTGAGCTATAAATACGTTAATTTTGTATTCTTCTCAAACATGTCTTAAGTATCTAAAATAGTCGATTTAACAAAAATTTCAACGGAATGGGTACGTTTTTTGCAGCTGATGTTCTCAACTGTCGACTCTATCTCGCCAGTTGACGTTCTCAACTGCCAAAGTTGAAATTCACTTATCGAAGAATATTAAATGACTAAAGTCTTCATCTTTTTCCCGTAAAGCGTTGACTTGCATGAAGACCTCTCGTCAATCAAAATATTTTGAGAAATTGACCTGTTTTCTGCGTTATTCTGCTCGTTCTAAGCCCCTTTTTTTCAATTTTCTTTTTCAATGCTTTTCAGTCTACAAGTCATCATACTTATACTGAACTACACTATAAGGACATCGAACGAGATAGTTTTTCACTTTGACACTGTTACACGGCTTAACAGCAAAGTTTTGACAGATTGATGCAAATTGTTTCGCCACGTTTACAAATTCTATCTGCTCTCGGATGATAATATCATCAATGAAAGATCAAATTGTTTCCTTATTGCGATAAATGTAGCGCCTCAACTCACAAACCGTGTGAAGCTGACTCTGATCAATAAATTGATCTTATCCGCCTTCGTTCTTTCCAGTCTCTACATTTCATTCAAAGGTAAATAAGTACTTCCTTTCTCTCAGGATCTACTAATAATATTACGGTTCATATTTTCTTTGATGCTTTATTTATGTTCAACAATTGTGAAAAATTATACGGACTACAGTAAAAAAAATCGACGTATAGGTTCATACAGTTCATCTCTTCTTCTTATTAAACAGTCGGCTTTTCGGGGAGCATTTTATATACGGATTTACATGCCTTTGCTGCATTTTCTTGTGTTTTCATCTGTTTAAATACACTATCGAATACATTTCGATCATTTGCATTCAATTTCTGGAGAAATCTTTCAACTTCTATATCATGAATCATTTTCATCATTTCCATCTGACCGTCATCGATAGTTGATTTTTCCTCAAGGAATAGTTCTGGACATATCGGTTGTATAGCCGTTACTATGGCTCCTGACATAACATCACTAAATGGTTTAACTTCTTGTTCACCAAAGCGACTAACACTTTCAGTAAATTGATCCCCTACATCATCGTCGATACCGAACATTGTGAAAACGAATGGTAATGCTTCCGTGTCCGGCAATGCTCGTTTTGAAAATGACGGTGATGCTAATGACAGCCACTGTTCAAAATCTTCGTTTCGTGTTCGTTGATAATCATCGTGGTCATCGTCGAGTACGAAACGACCGTTGATTTGACTGCTCAGAAGAACAGTTATTATGAATAGTACAATGAACGAATTCATTGTTGCTGTAGTATTATTACTTCCGATGTGCTTGTGTGTATGTGAGCTTAGAGGAGATAGACTGAATGTATGACTGACGTTCTTTCTGTTTATATAACTTTTATATGTTACTATCGATGCTAATCTTTCTATTTGTGTGATTGTTAATGTTTGTTCTCAACAGCCTTCTTGGAGGGAAATATCGTTTCAAGTATTTGGTGATAAGAAATAATTATTAATTAAAAATATATTATGTCAATACAAAGAAAAAAAAGAGCCAGATAGACAGGAGTGTAGAATGGCAGTGTTATATGTGAAAGACAGTAATTACCGTCTCAGATCTATTCTGTTAAACAGAATAGATCTGACTCTAACTTACAGAAAGCAACAGTTGTGTTCTAACGATAACAGAAGTAATCAGACTGTTGTTGTCTGCTTTACTGTTCGATGAGAGACATTAAATCAATTTCTGACGGTTAGCTGTCTTTGTTACAAACTTCAAATAGGCAGAACGAAAACGTTTAGAAGTGGTGAAAGTGTCAATGCATAACTATAGACAGTTATTCGCCGAATAAAGACAGTTTTCTGTATCGAACCGGAGCTGAGCAACTGAAATATGAGTTTGAGAAAAGAGAAACCTTTAAAAACAATCCCTAAAAAATTGTTTTCATTCAGAAAACCTGTATACAAGCCCTGTTCAGACAGGAAAACTCAAAATCGAACAAGCACTGCAAGAAGCAGGAGAAGAAAACAAGCACGAGTAAGTAAAAGTCGCGATAGGAGTCTTGCTGAAGAAAAATCGTGACTGCCTGCGTAGTCACGTCGCGACAGCGGGAGTCATGCCGCGACAACAGCTAGCTGCGCCGAAGTTTTGACAGAGACGGGGTCCCCCCCCAACTTCGTGAGTCACATCCCAAGGTTAAGGACTCATACACAAATACTGGGAAAAGTATGGGGCTCACGCAGCAGCAGCCACGTCGTGAGTTTCGCGAGTGGATTTGAAAGATCCCTTCTCGTCGTGGTACCTAGAAACTTGTTACCACTTCCATCTCTTTCATAAAAGCGATGACAATAACATAAAACCTGGAGTCGGAACCCGTAGCTGAACGCACTCAAGACTGACCGCGGGCCGCATCTAATACGTCGTCCGACGTGCCGGGTTGGCTAGGTGATGTGAGCCGCTGGTATAGCTGGCCAGCCGCGCCGGCAAGACTCTGAAAATAGATTATACACATTAGAAATCTCAAAACACATTATTCACCAAGGAATTCGGATACGATGAACAATGGATGAATGCGTAAACTTCCAGTATTTTGAATTTCTGGTTGGCGCACTTGATGCATAGGGCTTTGAAATTGAAGACGCTGACGCTGTGGACGAATTAACCATGATGGATACCGTCTTTCACACACACAAGCATTCGATACTCGTATCCGTCTGTCTTATTTCTTTCTCTGTATGTGCACATAAATATCTTTTAATTGATAATTATTCTTATCATTAAATACCTGAAACTTTCCCTCGAAAGAGGCTGTTGGGAACAAACATTAACAATCACACAAGTAGAAAGATCAGCTTCGACAGTGACACAAAAAAGGGTTGTTTTCGGTTAGCCGTCAATTTTTCCCGTCAAAAATGGCCGCCGTTACAAGTATAAAAAAGAAAAGGAACAAATTTGATTGATCAATTTTTTGAAATCCAGTTTGTAGAAAAATCTGTCAATCAAAACAGAGAAATCGTTCTGCAATTGAAAGGTTGACTACGTCTGTCGCTAAATTATATTCTTTTCTCATTGGTTTGTACCCTTTGAGTGAGAAATATAACGACAGCGTTTCTTTTCTTTTCTCTTAAGGATTTCTATTTCATGTATGTTATCGGGGAGCTGTTCAGATATCAGATGGTCAATAAAAACGAGTATACAAATATTTTTGTCTACTTTCTGTCTGTGTATATTTTATATAACATACAATTTATACGATAGACACGTCACGTGTCACACGTGTGCCCAGGTCGACGGTCACGCCTAAGTCGCGACGCAACCGCAATGTCCTGATCGCGATCACTAATAAACTCATGGCTGTCGCGTAGCGATCGCTATAAAGTCACGTTATCATGTCGTGATCTTGGTAAATCCATGTTTTTTAGAAAAAATATTTTGTAGGAATCCAGTCGCGATTTCATAGTCACGTCGCGATCGCTATACACTCGCGATCTCGCGGCAGGACTCTAAGGATGCATCAATTCGATTTTTAAGGATTCAGTATAGGTTTTTCTTAGCGCGATCACTACCATATCGCTATTTCGCGACGCGACTCATGCCACAGACAGTAATTGCGGCTATTGCAGGACAATCTAGCTGAGTTTTAAAACGTCGCGACGCGACTCACGTCATGGAATTTTATTGGTGGATATCGCTAGTAATTTTTTTCAATTACAATTTGAATTTTTTTCTCTTATTTCAAAGTGAGAATTTAGTGTATATTTCGTATACAAATTGATAGTACGGATTCTGTTTGTAACATAAATAGTATATACTGTGGGATAAAATAAGTTTTGAGCCCGGAAAAAAGAGAGAATTGATCCCGGTTGCTTTAATTAACCAAAAAATGATGGAAATGAGCCCGGTAATTTAGATTTGTTAAATTTTGTTAAATATATAAAAAATTAATCAGTTTAAGAGCATTCTTTTAAAATCAATCTTAGAAGCGCGTAGATATAACCGTGATTAAAACTAAACATCAGTATGTAGTTCATATATAACATTATCGATTCAACAGCATCCTTTTAAAATCAATCTTAGAAGGTATCAATCTTATTGATAACATTATCAATTTAACCAAAAAATAGCACGCAATTTAATAAATACAAAATAATAATAATGTTTTTCTTAATCTTTTGTTAAAGCTGTTTTTACTTTTTTTGGTCTACCTTTTCCTAGTTGGTATCACATAACCGGTATTACTTAATCGAATAATTTGACTTTGATCAATCTTCTGTGACCATTGATGTGCCTTTGATTCCAGATCAGATTCAAAATGAATTGTATGAGCAAATCCATCTGTAGCACTCTTTGTTGACCAATCACGTAACATACGTTCTGCTGTCTGTAGAAATGTGGCCAACGATAATTTATTTCTCATTGTATATGATTGTTTAATTTTGCCATTTAATGATTCGAGACCATTATTTGTTGATGGTGCTAAACAAACCGCTCCTTCATACCAAAATGATAAATCATTTATCCATTGTCCTTCAAAATATGTACGGAATCTATCTAGTTGATTGTCTAAACTCCATTTACCTAATAACAAACTTGCTGCTTGATTAAACAAATTATCTTTAAAACATAATTGTAAATTAACAATATCTTTTTCAACATTTAACCATTTTTGTTCATTTGGTATCACTTTTCTATGTTCACGACATTTTCTAATCATATGTGCCCAACTCATTAATCTACGACTTTGTGGTATAACTGACATTGCACTTGTAATACCTGCAGCTCCATCACCCATCACATGTGATATCAAATATGTTTATTGATTAATATTAGACGCCCATGTAGGAACACCTTGAAATAATGTTTTATATGTTGAAGCACCTTCATCAGATGATACCAAGCATAAGCCAATTGGATGAAAATGACGTTTATAATCTGATGTGCCAAATATGAGTATTGGTAAATTATTCCATGTGACTTTGTACGTACAATCAATAGCCAACACTGAAGAATATTTGGTAGTTGATAGTAGTTGACGAGTGGTGATACACACAAATATATTATCAATATCTTTTACTTCATAAAATGGTACAAAAACCTGATGCAATTGGCCAGGTGGTGGACAATTAATTCTTTCCTTACACCATAATTGTAAATCATCAACAGAAATAATCTGTGTACGGGTTTGCTGACGTGTATATTGTACCACATTTTTAATTTTTGTATCAATTGTTAAATTAGGATGCAATACTGGTACAGCTTTACGAATTTGACCTTGTGTTAAACCTGTATGTGTCATTTCTCGCACAGCAGTACGAATTGGTGATTTAAGACGATTATTTTCTTGTCTTTGACTATGATCATGTAATTCAGATTCAAAAACTGTAAATTTCCCTAACAAACAAATGAGTAAAAAATAGCTATTTTTTATTCCTCTCTCAAAAATAGTTATAACTATACAAAACTTACCATCTAACTGTTTGGCTTTCAATTGATAACGACATTGTAGATATTTTCTATACTCTGAACATTTATATGTTATAGATACATCACTTGTAAGTTCTTCAGTACGATGTGTACAAACATTTTTTTCTCGAACAAAAACTTTTAGATCGTTTTCAGTAGTACATGTAGAACATTCATGCCATAATCTTCGAGACATAGCTTGTAGAAAAAAATATAAACTAATTCCGGATATCTCCCCATTTTCTATTCCCAAATTATATATATATCCGATGTGTATATAAGATGTGTATATACATGCGCCTTCTAAGATTGATTTTAAAAGGATGCTGTTGAATCGATAATGTTATATATGAACTACATACTGATGTTTAGTTTTAATCACGGTTATATCTACGCGCTTCTAAGATTGATTTTAAAAGAATGCTCTTAAACTGATTAATTTTTTATATATTTAACAAAATTTAACAAATCTAAATTACCGGGCTCATTTCCATCATTTTTTGGTTAATTAAAGCAACCGGGATCAATTCTCTCTTTTTTCCGGGCTCAAAACTTATTTTATCCTAAAAATAAATAGTATTCGGAAAAAAAATAGAAAAATAATATTTACTCGACTCGACTCGAAAAATAGCTTGACTCGCCCAGCACTGTCATAGCATACACAAGAAGAATAGGAAAGAATATCATTTACAGGCCGGACTAATGACGTCAGTAGACCAGAGAGAAAGAGAAAGGTCACTATAAACATATGACCTTATAACATAGCATATGATGTAAAAAGAACAACGAAACTAAGACAACAAGGACTACTTAACAAACTCAGTCTGCGAAGATCACTAATACAGTCTGCCACAATGTTAAAGTTCTTTGAACTCACGTGCTTGGTGAAGCTATCGCTCGATTGAGTGTTCATCATGACCCTGAATACTGGAAATTTTCCGCTTATTATAAGTTTTTGTTATACCAATTTTCATACATAGGATTTTAAGCTGTTTCACTCACTGTCACTATCCACCTGCCCTCGCTTCTCACCGATGAGAGAGATATCCACCAAAATGCTAATATACAACATAATGTTGACACTGCCGGGTGTGCGGCACATCCGGAACACAGTGGGCATTTAGGCGGCATTTTCTGAAAAAATCGTAGGTACGAAATTTTCTGTTTTGAATAGCGGTATATATAGTGTAAACAATGCCCTATTTAACAGTGAAAAAATTTTTGTTCTAGCTGCT